ACGGGAGAGCCGCGTCCTCGCCATGTCTTGCTTCTGAAGCTCTCTGGATTCTGGCTTCTCTCCTCTCTTGCTCTGCGATCCTGACTCGGCTCTTGACAACTCCTTTCACAGTGGGTTCATCAGTCTTCACTTATTTCCAGCTTCCGCTCTCACCTCACCTTGTTTTGCAGTTGGCTGAAGGTCAGAATCCCTACGGGTGAGATGAGAAGTCAGCCATCTTTTAAGGGTCCACCTACCATATTCTCATGGCTTCCAAGAAGAAGTAAAGACCAGAGCAGGCCAGTCAGGCACACCTTGGTTAGCATCTTCTAGTCACTTTCTTCCCTCTAGTTACAGAATAACGGCCATTTTCCTGACAAGACTTCTGAGCCCTTCAAAGCCTAGCCGCTCACCAACTCCTCTTCTCCACCCCCTCCCCCTGCAGTTTTACATTTTCAGAGATGGTGCAGCTCAGGTTGATCACAAACATGCGGTCCTCCTGCCTCAGTCTCCCAAGGGCTTACATCGTAGGTGTTAGCCACAATGTCTGTCTGCCAACTTCTTGGTGGCGCCCTCTCCCGCAGACTGTGTTCCATGCCAGCAGAGGCTTAGCCTTGCTCCTCACGCATCCTGTGCTGTCTCTTGCCTCTGAGCCATTTCCTGGTACAGTTCACAGTCCTCAGAATCCCTTCCCTTCCTGCTTGCTCTGGCTGCCTTCTTCCCAGGATAACCCAGTGCCGCTGCCCTCCACTCAGTGCTGTGTTACAAAGGCCACGTGAACCCCAAGCTCAAGGCCAGGGGCTGTGCAAGCACCGATCTTTTAATCCACAGGACTGAGAAGTCCTGGGCTGAGCGTGCCATTTCCCAGCAAACGCTGAATCACGCCACTGTAAACTCCAACACTTCTGATTTCCCATTTGACAGCATGTTTTTCTGCAATTGCAGATTATTCAATTGGAAAGGTCTCTAGAACATTTTTATTTTATTTTCCTTCTAACTTGCACCACAAATACAACAGATAAAACAGAAAATACACTAAATGCATTTTCTGTCCAAACAGTCAGGGGCTGTGAGCAGACAGCATATGCCTCAGAAACACGTGCAGGGATAAAAGCTGGACTGGGAAGGAGCAACACTGGGGGATGAGGCGCTTCCTTCTGGAACTTTCTCTCAGTCTCTACATAGGGAAATTAATGTGATAAAGTGATCAGTGGGGGCCACTGGGACACACTTGGTGACTTACCAGAAAGCCCTGGCTCACCCACAGCTAGGACTCTGCCTTTGGTCACCTTGCAGGACAAGGCCATTGTAAAGTCAGAGGGTTTTTCTGTCCAGGAGAGGTGAGAGCCAGGGTGTGGAGCACATGGGAAGCCTGCAGCCCCGGGTGTGGCATCGGGAGGGAAGCTCCTGGCTGCTGAGTCAGCCCAGGTCTTGCAGGCTCTTACAGGGCAGTAAATACTTAGGATCATAGTTCATGCTGAGAAGAGAAAGCTAAACAGAAACTACGTCTTTGTGCATTAAAAGAAGGTTAATCCTATTTCTATACAATTGAGAATATATATACGAGCAGCCCGGGAACTGGCAAGGAAGGAAGGAAGGAAATGTAGAATATTTTTATTTGCAAATGAAATCACTCTCCTCTAATCAACTCACAATAAAAACATCACAGAGCAGGTTTCAGGAAGCTACTTAAACATTTGTCCAGTTCCAAATCTCAGTGAATTTCCACACAGTTAGAATGGCCATGCTGGAGCTGCGAAATGTCGGTTAACAGGTTTACACTTTCACTAGTAATTACGTTTTTATTCACTTTTCTGCCACGACAAAAAAACAAAACAAAACAAAACCAAAAAACTATGATGGAGCTGAAACTGGCAAAATAATAGTTCTATATCCTCTTTCATGACTCATATGACCTTTTGCCTACATTCCATCCTTTTTCTGCAGGGTGGCCTTGCCCCTCACCTGTGAAGAAGTTACTGCCTTCTTTCCTCCCCTCCCCTCCCCTCCCCTC